AGCCCCACAGGCTCCTTTTGTGCAAACGGTTTAAACCTCCACATAATTTATAATTTTGTACAGTGACAACACGGATAACACTGCATATAAAATGGATATCATTGTAAGTATCATCTCTTTTCTTCCTGGGTAATTAAAAAAAGGCACAGACTTTTGTACAAGAAGATAAAAGAGCATACTTTAAATACCTACAATGTCTAAAGTTATTCTTTCTTCCTCTCCACAATTCTAAAAACTTCACTGCTCATCTTATATCCAGTTGAATGGAAACAATGAGACAAAGTACACTCTAAAACCCTTGACTAGCGAAAAATCAATGAGAAAAGGATTCAATCAACTATGGGAAATAACGTGATAAATGATCTATTAGAGTAGCACCACCCTGAAATTTTATAGATCTAACATTTACATCTAGAGAGCATTCAAAAACTTCAAAATTGAGTAAATTTGCAAGAAAATCGTTCTACTAAATCCTGCGAGCTGACGAGCTCAGAATACAAGACTAAACGCCACATCCCCCAGTCTCAAGAACATAAATCCACATCTAATAATCTGAACCAGAACAAAAATCAGAATACTACAGACCTTGAGATATCCAAACCCAAACGACAGCCACAAAACCGAAATCTATATCAGAATTACGCCTACAACCTAATCAGCAAAACCTAGGCAATCAGAACTCAAATCTAAGCGAACATAAAAAATAATACAGTCAATCAAATAAAATCACTCAGGATCTACACAAATACAGCTCGAGAAAAGCTCAAGTCACGTCATCTCATTCCATTTTCCTTACAATGTTTCGCTAACCAAACAAGATACGATTCGATAATTCAAATCAAGCTATTTAAACTCAATAAATTCACTAAAAGTATTTTATTAACAAAAAAAAACGAGAAACATAAAAGGAAATGTACCTGTAACAAATTAAGGATCTGATCGAGACCAAACGATAGAGGAGCAAATCAGAATCTATAAACAAACATCATCCTCATATCAAATATTTGTCTTATATTTAAGATCTGCGATGTTTTGCACGTAGACAGAGAGATGAAGAGCTCAAAACATATATATATATATAGAGAGAGAGAGAGAGAGAGGGAAAGAAGCATACATACGTATATAAGCGTCTGTATAGGCGTATATATAGGTGTCAACAGAGAAGTAAGATAAGAGTTCGCGAACGTGACTTGCCCGCTAGAAAGATAGAAACGAGGAGGAGAGGGGAGGGGACTTTTGTCGGGTCTTAAACCGATATCCTACTCGCTTGATCTGACTGCCACGTGGAAGTTGATTGCTAGTCGTAGCAGGCCACTAAGCTTCTACTCGTTAATCATCGTGGATTAAAAATATTATTATTTTTCTTGAGTAAATAAGAAGGAAAAAACAATTTAATTTTAATTAAAAAATATTAAACTAAACCATAATCATTATCTTATATCTTTTTTATGGGTTTGGTGGGTTGAAACATGTATTTTCCAATAAAATATTACATTATTTGATTGCAATTCTCTTGGTTTCTTCTCCATACTTTATGCCAAAGATCCACTATTTACATATAAATTTCTCAAATATATGTACAAAAATATATACACACAAATCTTGAGCTATATAAGAGATTTATATTGCTATAGTGAATGGAACAGGATATATACACGAGACTAGGAGGCTATATATAGGAAATTGAAGCTCTCACGGTTGCCTCACTTAATATAAATGTGCTAAACTAACAAAATTCAATATTAAACATTTAGGAAAAGTAAAGTATATTGAGTTAAGATAAAATATTAAAAATTAAGTTATGAACTACTTACAATGTTTAACTCGTCATTACATGAAAATATATATATATATATATATTTAAAGATCAAGCGCATGAAATAATGTTATGCGCTTAAAAGTAGGCCCATAAATTATTACGAGAGAGAATATTGAAGATTAAGTGTAAGAGATGTTCAATGATATTTAATGAATGAAATTACTTAGTACCATCATTCAAATTATTAACGATAAGGGTTAAATATTACAGATATCCAACATATATATGCTAAATATGATCAATGTTGGAACCAAATGATTTACCAAAAAGAATAAAGCATGACCTTAAAAATAACAGAACAATCAACCTGAGGAGGTGGTATACCTACTTCAAGCTCCAACTTTCCAAGTACATATGTATTTATCTAATCTAACATGCTTATAATTTCTTATAAAACACACAAACTTTATTAAAAGTTTGATCAAACTATTAGAATTGATTTTGATATACATATTACCCAAATTAAAACATCAATAAGTACATACCAATAATTTTTTTTTTCAAAGTTTACTCAATTACAAGAAGTTTGAGAGTTTAAAAAAAATTCAACTACATTATCAAGATGTAGAATATATTATACGGTTAGAGAGATATCAAAATTAGGTTAAAATATACAAGTATAATAGAAAATTCATTTTTACTAGCTCACTAGAGTTTAACGTTAAAAATATGTTGTTTGACACCCTATCCTCCTATTTTTGACACATGATTGTCTATTAACAAGTGGTAAATACAATAATATTTAGTAATAGATGGTTACATAATATGTATCACCATATTAACAGTATGTATCTATATATTTAATGTATTATTAGCTTTTAATGTCTCATAATCTTACATTTTTGTAAGAAAATATTAAATTTATAATCCATTAGAATATAACTTATGATAAAATTAATATTTTTTTAAAAAAATTATAATTATAATTATAATTTTTATAGAAATACATATTATTTTGAATATGCATTGGCAATATATGGGATGCAAGAAGTATAAAAAAAAAGAAAGAAATGGGAGAAAGAGATGCTTAGACTCATGATACATGAAAATATTTCATAACTTTTTTATTCTAAATTCATATTTAATTTTTTCATAAAAATATATAATGACAATATATTTGTTGAAAAATGAAAACACAAACAAATTACATAAAACATTAAAAATAATTTTTAATTTTTTTAGTACTTATAGTTATTCTCTTTATTGTTAATTATCATTTATGATTTTGTGAAATATAAAACATTTGTGTATATATTAGACATAACCTTGTTATATTTTTCTTTGTTCCAATAAAAATAATAATCAATAAATAAAAAAAAATAAAAAAGGACGTAAATATCTAATGATAAATTATTATTTTTGCTTATGAATTATTCGTCATTCATATTATAATTGTGTGTTATTTTTTTATAATTTAATCCTTAAATTTATAAAATTATTTTAATCTATAGTATTTTTATACAATTAATTTATAGTATTTATTTTATTTATTTAATCTTTAATTATTAAGAAAAATTTATATTTTCTTTTTCCTTTTTAGATATATAAAACCATATTTATGGTTTCCTTGGCGTGGCGGCAGTGCCCTCCAAACCCTAGCTCTGTAACCTTTGTCACTTCTCGTCAAGTGATCTCGTAAGCTTTCTTCTTCCCTCTCAACATGGACGGGAACAGAGAAGATGAACCAGTTTCGGCAAAGCAAAACGCCAAAGAAGCGGCTGTATGCGAAGAATGCAAAGAGAATCCATCAAAATACAAGTGTCCGGGTTGCTCAATCCGCTCATGTAGTCTCCCTTGTGTTAAGGCTCATAAGCTACGAACTGGCTGCACCGGAAAGAGGGACGTTACTCAGTTCGTTCCTCTCTCTCAGTTCAACGATAATCTCATTCTCTCTGGTATATTACGCTTTCATCTTGCTCTCTTTTGGAGCTTGCGCTTGTGAAAATTAGCTGCAAACCTTTTAGTCTATGCCTTTTTGAATTATTAATTGCTAGATAAGTGTCAAGGAAGAGTAGTGGAGTAATGAGGATGGTGAAATCATCGTCTTAGAGGCTTAATGCGTTATGGTTTTTGACAATGAGTGATATAATGATCTAAGTGTTATGGCATTAGAAAGCTAAAGCTGAGGCTGTTGGAAGTGCTTGTTCCTTGAATTTATGGTGCAAGTAGGGAATGCGGTTGCTTTAATTTGTTCATCTGTTCCGTAGAACTTCAACATTTTTTATGTTCGTCATTCTCCTGTGAATATTTGAAATTATACTATATGAAGTTTTATATTTTAATATTTTGGTTCAAAAAAAAATTCATTTTGGCTTCAAGCTAGATCATGTTTCTTTATAGAGAAATTTCTTTGTACTTTTTCGTTTCTCTAGGAATTAGTTTTGTGTCAATGGGTCTTCATTCTTGAGAAACCTTATATTGGTTGGAAAAGAAAGATTTATTTACCTTGGTGGCTCATCCTTCCCTTTAAAAGGTTGTGATCTTGGATAGGTTATTGTTTCTTGATGAACTTTGTCAATCTGTTTGACGTTTTTTGACTGTTTTTATCTGGTTTTTAAAAATGCTGTTTGTAGATTATCAGATGTTGGAGGAAGTAAAGAGGGTTGCTGAATCTGCTCAGAGGACTCGAGGTAAATTATGCGGCTATTACCGTTCAAAGCTTCCATTTGGCCTCAAAAATCTTCGGACTGCTGCTTCAAGACGCAAAATAAAGCTCTTGTTTCTTCCTAGTGGAATGTCAAGGAGGGAAAAGAATCAAACTAAATATGATGAAAGGTAATTGGTCTAAGAAAAGCATATAATAATACAGTTATGGATTTACTTCTAAGTTGCAGTTGCATCCAATGCTATTTTATATGCTCACAAATATTTTTCTTAGAAAGGAAAAGGAAATTTACAAAAGTAAAGGCACCTAGGGGTTGTCATGCCAGCTACAAAATTTTTCAAATATGGCCAGAAGACATAAATGTCTATGAGGTCATTAATCTGCCTAATTGCAAAATAAATTGACTGTTCAACAATAATTTAAGTGTTCGAGCCAATGATCCATGATATGCGTATGGGAGGAAGAAGACTTCCCAAACGCTCTTCTACTTTTTTGTTTCCAAGTGACCATCAAGGTAGCTAAAGGGACAAGAGTGATATACTTTCTTTTGGACTTGGCTACAGGTAGATCACTCCAAGCCCACAGCTCGTTCTTCACTGACTCACTAGCCACCCAACTTAGATTCGTCAGTCTGAGAATAGAATGCCCAAGTCTTCTGATTCACAAGGATAGCTGACTCAGAAATCCACTCTCACTTTGGCACTAGAAGCATCTATTAGCATGTCTATATGTCTCCGTTAGATTGTTGATGGTGAAAATTGAAAGATGTGACAAATATATTGATGAATTATGTGAACTTATTTATTTGGAATGATTTGACAATGAAGCTTTAGGATTCCAGTAATTAATTTTTTGCATCTTTAGGATTCCAGTAATTAATTTTTTGCATGTTTTTAAGACTGATATATTAGTTAAGTTCCTCTATTTGTTTCTGAATCATTTATAAGTTTGATCGGGATGAAATTCTCTTCTTTTTCTTTTGATGTCTGTAGAAGATGTTGGGCAGTTTTATATTCGTTTGTTATATAGAAGACAGAATTGTTTTTTTAAGATGAAAAAAGAAGAATTATTAAAGGAGAGAGAAGAGAAAACAGAACAATAAAGTAGAAGTGAAGGTTATAAAACATCCTCAAAGAACTCCAAAAATTTCAGGAGAAGAAATAGAGCGAAACAACTCCATACAAACAACATCCTTATCCCTTTTGTAACAAGAAGAGATATCTCTATAACAACCATGAGCCTTGGTCCACAAAAAAGCCAAGAAAGTATTCTATCCCAAGAATATAGGAGGAGAGCAGCGATCCTTGAAGATTTCTAGCATTACACTTCAAGCCCAAATAACTTGGCAAAAAGAGCATCTGTCCAAAGGATACTAGCTGCCTTCTTCACCCCAACTCCCCTTTAGGAGCAAATTTTGGAGAGCAGGTGAGGCAGGGGGAGGAGGAAGCCATATGACTAAAAATTGTTGTAATCCAAGTCCATAGGACCATTACAAACCCACATGTTAGCGTATGACAATGTCCAGCACCTTCTTATTGTCATGACTATCTTTTCCGTGCTTCATCTTATTAGCAAAGGGTTTTAACTTTAAAGTAGCTAATGATTTGATGATTGCTTAGATGGTTTCAGCTAGATCTTGTAATAACTTAATGTTGGGTTTGTTTCAGGACAAAAATGATTTCATGGACAATTGAGTGGCGATTTCATTCAACCAATGTTGTTTTGATTGACCATGGGTGAGTTGTCTTACCACCTAAACTCCAGTACATTATTATCCTTTATGGACTTGTTAGGTTCTTGTGTCTTGTTCCATGGTTTTTGAGCATTTCTTATCTGATGTTTAGTTTTGCAGAGTGTGTGAAGATGCAAGCATATACTCTGTAATTGAGAACCATCTAAAGCCAGGCCCCTGGAACCATCAGCTTAAGCAATTCTGTGATGTACAGCTGGACAGTCTCAAGTTTTTTATCCGTAAATGTCCAAAGGTCGTTAACTTTTTTCCTTTGTGCTTAATAATTACATTTTTCTCGTTACTCATGCAACTTAGTAATTTTTTGTTCTATAGTCTTGTGGATTTTGCAATACTATTTAAATTACTGGATTCTTCACAAGCATAAGTGGCATCAGCATCTGAACCAGAGCTTCCTTAAGTTGACATGAACTGTTTGAATGTGCAGTTATGGTTAAGGCATCGGTGATGCAGTTGGGAGTTTAATGACATTATTATATTTATTTTTTCCATTAATAATTCTTAGATGGAAACCAAAGAGAATACTTCTTTTTGTGACAAAAAAAATTGTTGTGGCTGGTCTGGTTTGAAATGAAGACCAGCATCAATGCTTTAGCCACTGTACCACATGGAAATCAAGGAAAATGGTTACTTGGTTGGATGTTCTCATGTGGCATGGTTCAAGCCTGTAAATTTTTACGATGTATCTCTCTGTTCCCCAGATTCGCATTTAGAAAGGATCTAACCTTCTTTGTACATGTCATTATCACAGGGGCCTAGGTTGCATTTCCTGGAGTTGGACATCAAGGCCCCTTTAAGGAAACAGTTGGCCAAAATCATAATATTGGAGTACCCTTCAATTCATGTTTTTCTTCCGTCACATAGATATGATTTTGAAATTGTTAGAGATGCTCATCTTGTGGGTTCAAAACCTGCACTTGAGGATTCCAGTAACAATGGTCAACAGTGCCCCCAGGGTGTTACTTTCAAGGAGGAGGAAATAGAAGAAGGCACTGGTTCTTGTGAGTCTCTGGTTATTGATCTTATGAAGCAAGTGAATGCTAGTCCAGTGTGTCAATTCCATCATGAAAATGAGTTTGAGAAAGCAGTAAAGAATTCATCAGATAGGTCTATACTCCCAAGAGTGGCATCTTGTAGCACTTCTGATTCTGGGCTGAAAGCCAATGGACCAGAAGTTACAGAAGAAATGGAATTTGATTTTGACCAAGATTTAATAGATACATACTCAGAGCTTGCAGCAATAAATACAGATGACTTTCTAGTCTTTGAAGGTGAATTTTCCAAAGAAATGGAAGTAGAAGGAGATGATTTTTCAAACTTCAGGGGAACTTTCTCGGAAGCAGTAGAGCTAGAGGAAGGGGAGATTGCAGACTAGATGGTGTTCAATTTATCTCACAATTGTGTTGAAAGTGTTTGAGAGAATTATCTGCCAACTAATGGATAATATTCTGGATAAAACATTTTCATTGGTTCTTTATGCCGAATTTTGTATAGTATCTGCGAGGACGTCCGCCTGTCAAAATCTGTTCGTATCACCCAGTGAGATGCGTGCATTTGGTGTACATTGAACATGTGGGAACTGTTTGCCACAACTCTTCAATCTGTTACGCAATGATGTTAATATCAAGACAGCAATCTGCACTGGGCTTTTCTTGTATTCCTCTGCTTCCTTGATTCTGTTTGGCTATTAGCAGGAGAATTTCTGTTTGGTATGGTTGTCATCAAGATATCATATCTTGGAATGTCTTATCTATTATGTAGTAATCAGTTGTTTCTTTCTTGTAAATCCATTTGATTTGTGGGTTAATTATACTTTCGTTCAATGTTTTTTTTAATATCATTAGGAATAAGTAAAATTGTAATTGTTATTGAGTCTGTTGAAAGAAATCTGGAAGCCAGTGTTATATCCGTCCATAGAATGGCCATGTTTTGCCATTTCAAAAATGGTGAGTAGAGATCGTAGGTGTTACATTTTGTCAAATCATACTAAATCATGTATATATATATATATATATATGATTCCAACCCTCTTTCTTTTCTCATATTTCATGGTAGATTTTTTTATTTTTATAATTTTAAGTACAACAAAGTGGAATTAGGTCTTTGTTTTTTGGGGTATATATCCTATCAATTAGAATGATTTGTGGTTAAACTTGATTCCACAAATGGTCTCTAGCAACATATTACCAAAACTATAAACATTGACCTTCACTTTTTACTAGTTCATTTTTGAACCATTTTGGTTCCACATGCTCTTTAGTCCCTCTGATCTCGATCAACGTACCAATTTTCTCATTCATTAAAAGCTTTGCGATCCAAAGTAAGAAAATTTTAGTACTAAATGAATTGTCTAGGTTTCTAGGCATTACGTTGTAAATGAATAATTTAGGTGTTATCTTCTTCGTGTAAGTATATAAGTCTACCAACAATTTCTAATACATTTATAATGAATTGTCTAGGCTTCATATAGAGACATTATTTACAAACTTGTAGACGAAATCAATTTTCACCCTCAAGTAATTTCACAAAATTCTTATAGCGAATTTGGCTGATCTCATGAACTTATGTTTTGAACTTTCTAACCTTCTTGTGCCACCTCTAACTAGTTTTATATAGATAATAACATAACCATCATAACTTTATATCAATACTATTTATAAAATATATTATAAGATTCTATGCCAGTGATTATTTGAAACTACAAGTATTTTTTTCAAATTTTGTATATGCAAAATATTGGTAAATCTCAAAATTTTTATATCTAAAAATTTGC